AATATATATAGAATTAAACAGATATAGAACTGAATAAATAAGTATAGAACTAAATGGTTCTATAAAATTGCTGTTATTTGTTCTATAAAAGTCTGGCTCATTCACCAGTAAAGCCATCTAGGCCTGGAGTTTTCTCTGTGGGAAGCTCTGTCTTTAATAAAGTTATAGATTTTATTTCTTGAACAAATGCAGAACTATTCACATACATGTATGTGTATAAACATACCTATGTACACATAAATGAAAGGCAAATCAAAGTTTTGTAATAGAAAAAGGTATAAAGAGAAAATATAAAAATTAATATAATGTACTGTGAGATTCTGATCGTGGTGGTGAAGCTAATATTCATACATTAATAATTATACTTGACTTTCAGATTTTAGCCTTATTCTGGAAGCCCCAAATAAGGACATTTCCCAACATATCAATGGGGGGAGGCAGGAGAGAAAAATAAAACATTTGCATAAAATTAATCAACATATAGCTTGAAGTTAAGCATGGTTCTTTGATGTCAATGTATTATCCTGTACTTTTATTTACTGGATATTGTTCTAAATGTTAAAACGCAAAGCAGACTATATTAATTAAGCATAATCGTGAATTTTCTTCCCATCTTCTGAGATTGAGTGGCCACTGTGTTGAGGTAGCTAGCCCACCAGTACGATGGCACAATTTTTATTTAATATACAAGGATAAAAATATCTATCAAAACAAAAGAAGTAGGTCTGGGACTGAGCTCTCTCAAACATCAGCAGTTTAATCAGATAGAATCACTGACCAGGCGTGTTTCTCCAAAGAACTTAGAATGGAGCTATAAGGTTCATTCATCACTTAAAAATATTTTGACTCAATAATAGGTTTGTTCTTTCCTCATAGAGGATGAATAAGATACGTAAACTAAAAAAATCAATTATAATGTAGTACCCTACATGTCTTTGTAAATTAATTTCCAGTATATTTGCCTTAAAATTAAGTTCACTAAAATAATGTTTCTTTTGAAAATTGGTATGGCTAATTCTAAGTGTAGAACAGGTAGAGTCAGTCTTTTCAAGGAGGAGGGGTCAGTAAATTTTTTCTGTAAAGGGCCGTACATTCTCTGTTGCAGTTACTCAATTTTGCCATTGTTTATAGCTCCAAAGCCATTAGACAAAAAGTAAATGAATCTATTCCAATAAAATTTTTTTTTTTTTTACAAAAACAGGAGGCTTGCCATGTGGATCATACATAGTTTGCTGATTCTTGTCTTAGGGTATTACACTGGATTTTTTTTTTTTCATGCTTTGGAGATTTTGACTATTCTCTGATAGTTACCAAAAGTGTTTATCAAAGATAAAGTATTTCAACCTTGAATTCATCATAAAAGGATTTGGTAGTGGTAATATTAGGGGGTATGTCCATATGCTAGCAACTTCACAAGATTGTTTATGAGTCAAATGAATTCAATTAAATCTAATCAAATCAGAAAATCCTGGGTCACTTAAAGCGATACATAGTATATGTTATTAATACTTCTTTATTTATTATAGCACATAAGTCGGAATGGCTAAAAAGTATGAATAAATCCAAACTCTCTAATTGAACTTCCATAGTTTCACTACCTTTAAAATTATTTTTTCTATCTTATTCCAAACTTTGGGTTTACCTACATGATATTCAGCATCATGAACTAAAAAAGTTCTTTATTTCTATCATTTAAAATATTCTATTTATTTTTATGCCATCTGGAACACAGTAGACCTTGAAATCTTTATTAAAAGGACAGATTGTAATAGAGAAATATTTTAGATTGAGATATTGCTTAAGTTATACTTCACACTTCCCTCCACAACCTCCACCTTACTGCAAACCCAGGCCAGTATGTTCACTTTCAGAATGGACTGGAAGAGACATTAAACAGACAATAAATACAAAAGATAGTTTTCCATATATTAAGGTCAGCTACTCATAGTTTTCCGCCTTCCTAATCCTGGCCCCTAGCAGCTCCGAAGTAGAAGTATTTGTGACTAGAGAGACACGTAAGGGAGGAGCAGGTTCCAACTGAAAAGCAGGAAAAGAAATCTTTGCTCTTCCTTAGTTACTTGCAGTATAATTCAGTGAGTCTCTGCCTAGGTTTAAAGGTGAGTTAGGCGGCAAGTAAGAAGAAAAAAAGAGTTCTTCCTAAACTGGCCTACAAAGTCAAAACGTCTTGTGAAACTAATACCGTTCACCTACCAGTGCACTGGTAAAAAGCAATGTCTTATTTTTGGCAAAAATTATATCAACTCAGTGTGACATATCGCACATGAACGGTAGATTTGGTATGTATGGGTTTACTTTTTTAGAAAAATGACTAAGTAAATGATTAAATGCAGTTCCTTTAATGGACCAAATCTAAAACACAAAGCCCATAAAAGGGGGTCCAAAAGGGGGTCCCCCTTGGTGGTTAAAAGATTATCAGTCTATATTCTCCTCTCGGTGGCTCATAACAATCTTTAGAAAGTTATTTGGCCTCAGTTTTCTAAGTCCTGAATTTCAACATCTCTAATTTTTTAGTTGGAAAAGTAAAGAATCAAATTTAGTCAATCATTTGAAGAAAGCAGATTCCAAAAATAAAGTTAAATTCAGACAATGTAAAATACAAAACTGGAGATACTACTTAAGAATATAAAATACTAGTTTCTGTCATCTGTGGTGGCAAATGCTTTTGCTTGTTTTCAAAGTATGTGCACTCATAACAGATAAAAAGAAATTGAAGCATTCTCACACATATAGAAAATGTATCAAAAGGCACTTTTATTACTGTCTGTCCTCCATGTCTCAAGGGAGATTCTGGAGGTCAAGGAAAACCTACTTAGTTTGACACTTAAGACAACTATAGAAATATAATTATTGCTCACTTAGAGAATAATCTAGTGCATGGTTACTTTGTTTCTCATCCCATCTACCTTTCTCCCTTCTCATATTTTGCATATGAAAAAAAGATGCTAAGTTTAAACCACAGAAAATGTCAGCTGCTTTCCTAGGAACTTTAATAGTCCAGCATCACAGTCCTAGCTTTTCCATAAGGTAATAAGCCCGAGGACAAGACTGTTGTGGGAGAGAGAGAAAGTGTGCGCGTGTGTGCGTGTGTGTGTGTCTGTCTGTCTTAGAGCGGGGCTGAGGGAAAAGGATTATATTCTTAGAAGACAGAGAAATATTAGCGATATAACATCTATATATTAGTGTTAACAATAATGTATTTGGTATTTATTATTTGCAACTGGGTCAAACACAGAACTAATAAACTAGAGTTGTAAATTATATACTATAGATAAGACAACCAGTTATAAATTTAGAGAATTGAAAAATCATATCGTATGCCACCTTCACTAGTATTTATTAAACATATTTCTTAAGCAAACTATAAATGACAGATTTATTTTTTAAAAGAGATAAAAATAACTTTTTAAAAATAGTTAAAATCTGGAGGTTTAAAAGGGATGATTTTATTAAATAACCATATTAGTATGAAAATGTGCTTTAAAGGTTAAGAGATTTAGGATTCAAAACTTTGACAATACGTGCTCAAATCAAGATACAATTCTTCTGTGAGTTTTCAGACATTACATAATAAATCTTGGAAAATTAATTACAACATTGATCAGTAAAACCCAATTAGAAACAGTTATACCATAGCAAACAGAAATGCATTACCTCGTCTTCGCCCATAACTCCTTGCTGCATGTAAACAAAGGACAAATTGTAAAATGTCAGAACTAAAATAAGCCCACATATACAACTACTTGTGATATGAAAGCTATGTGGGCATCTGGAAATTAATGCTACTTTGTTTTCAGAGCTACAACAATGTTACCATATAACATCTGCGTGATGTTTTACAATTTACAAAGCACTTTTATTATATACATCATTTAAACTATATAAAAACTGAAATTAACAGGAAATATACAGTTTATTCTCATTCATGTTAAAATTCATGAATATTTGTTTCATTACTTCAGGATAGGAATATGTAACACTTTACAGTTAAATAGCATCACATACAGTTTTTCCAATGAATGGGAACAACTTGAACTAAATACTTATTATTCTACTTATTAGAAAGAGTGATATAGCATATATAGTCCAATAAATAGCTATTCAGATCAAATTCACATTATACCAAGCCCTGCATGAAAAAGTACTGGAAGACACAGTAAAGGAATTAATCCACATTCAAACTTGCTTAGTTGAAGAAATGATTAATGATATCCTATAGCTAATGTCTTCTATTATTTTAGCACATTTTATAACACTATCTAAGTGTTTAAGTCTTTACTTCAGGAGGAGAGAGGGATTCAGATACAAATTATAATTATTCTCATCATAGAATAGTACATAGCTTAAACACTGAGAAAGTATAAAGTAAAAAAGCATTTCAATCTATGTTACTATCAGTTTACATAATTTTTTATGAAAAAAAATACTGCAATTTATTTTCCATAAGAAACTACTAATAAAATTGACATGTTGAGATAGCGCTTTTTCATAAGAAACTACATTTGATAACATTTAAGTTGAGATAGGGCTTAAATAACTCTTCCCCTTGAATGTGAGTACGCGATGAGTACTTTTACCCTGGAGTTAATATCTAAAACCAAGACAGTAAATAAAAAAATGACTCTTAAAATTCAGATCTTATTTAATGTTCATAGGCTTTTAGGCTTGGGAAAAATTTGATATTGAATAAATCTCAAATCAAAATATATATCAAAAGTTGTTAGAACTGTATCCCCCAAAGTATAAAACTTAAAGTTCAAAATAAAACATTTCACATCATTAAACGCATTTTAATTTTGAAGTTTTACAAAATATATTTTAAATTTTATGTTAAGGCTTTAATATAAACAAATATGTCTACAGGGTGAGAATACAGCATTAGTTTCCCTATAATAAAAAAGGGAATAAACAAACTGGTCAACTCTTGGTCATTTACACTATAAGAAATAAGTCAATAAATATAAGGCTTATATCAGAGTCTTTTACATAAAATAACTCATTTACATCTCTGCCATTCTATTGTCTTTTTTTAGCTATACAATCTACAGCTGATTTAACTTGTCCCTGAGTGCCAATTACCTCAAAGCTTTACAGATTTACCTGACCTGTATGGCTTACCTGTGTGTATATATATGGCTTATGTATATATATATACATGTATATGTATGTGTATATATATATGTACACATAGTTATACATATACGTATTATATATATATGTGTGTGTGTGTTGCATGTGTGTGTATCTATACACACACACACACACACACATAATTTACATAAAGCTTACCCAACCTTGGGTAAGTAGAGCTTAGTTTAGGATGAGGGTAGGGTGGAAGTGTCATTTAGAATTTTGTTATCTAGGTCTTCTAAGACTTATAAAGGCTTTAAAAAGACAGGGTCTCAAGGATATGGGATGTCAGCTGTGGAAATCAGATTAAAATAGGAATTTGTATAGAGCTAACAAGAACAGACTATAGAGAGTGAATTCTTTTTAGTCTTTAATGTTGTATTAAGCATAGAAATAGTCAGTATGGCCTAAAACACTTCACGGCACAAGTTCCAGGAGTTGGGCTTCCTGCTTATGCCTAGGCATGGTCTAATAATATTAATTCAATATAAACTTGCTTTGAGGCAACTCATTTATGGCTGTAGAGGGCCAAACACTTATAAACAAATGCAACTATTCTCATCGAGTTTAAATTTAAATGATGAATTATGAAGAAGTCATAATGTGGCACATAATTCTTGACCTATAGAGAAAATTAATGACATCGTAACCAGTTTATATTTAGCTGTTATGTTCTTAGCTGAGGCTACACAATACTAAAACAGTAAAAATAAATACAAATGTTCACAGCATCTTAGACTTCATTCATCTCATTCCTAGGCTTGAACACAATTATTCCAAAACTTTCTCCAACTATCTCATACCTGAGGAATTTTAGACTCCTGTAAAGAGATATTCCATTTATTTTTTGGACAACTCTCAGATTCCAGGCCTCCACATTACCAAAAATAGAACTGCCTGCAGATGAAGCTAATCCACGTGAAACCTTTCCTCTTCTCTGTCATGGAAATCACCAATCTGCTATCATCACGCTAAGCAATGTGTGTACTCACTTTCCTACCAAGATTTCTATGTGAATTTCTGGCGTTATGTTCTGCTAACTTTATAGGAAACCCCTAGTAAGAAAAAAAAATCATTAAATGACTATTCGTCATGTTTTAAAAAGATCTTTAAACAATATGCCCCTCCAAACTCATTCAGAATATGATTTAGGAAAAAAAGTGAACAATCTGTTGTATAAAATCTGTATTTAGAATGTAAAATTTCAGGCACATATATTTTATAAAGCATTCTAAAAATACTTCATACAAAAGTGAGAATTGGCAATTTAACATACATGTGTAATGATATATATGTGGGTGTGTATATGTACATGTATGTTAGAAGTATATGTTATATATATTTATATACATATCTTTTTTAATGAAGATAATAAGAAGGCTGTGAAAGATGGGTGTAGACCTTTCTTATACAAGTGGCTTTACAATTTGGTCCTGAATTACCAATAATAATATTAGGTTCTAACCGATAGCTACAAAAAATAAATAGAATAATTCTAATGTTCTCTTTAGGGTCTTTGTGCTCCTATGTATTGGCTCTTAGCTCAGTTGTGGTACATGAATTACTGCAGCTGGAAGACAGGACAGATAAGCGTACCAAATCAGCGGGAAATACTTAAAGGTTAAAGTTCTCTTGGTGTGAAACTAAAGAAATTCTTATTTCTTACTCTAAAAAGTTGAGCCAAAATCCAGGAAATATACCCAATCTCTCTCCCCGCTCCCCATCATAATCTTTTCGAGATCCAAAGTAAACCTGTTATCTACTCTATGCACTTCCATCAGCATAAAAAAAGAACTGACAGTATATTCAAGTTTCCTATTTTCATGACTTAATAGAGCATATTTAGAGTATTTGGTTTTCAGGAATACAGTTTCATTTCTGAGAAAATTTTCTTAATTAAAAGATACACATAACTTCTTTCTTCTCAAAAGTATACCAAGCTCTTGATCACAAACATGGCTGTATGTGGTTAATAACTGCAAATTTAAAACTAGCTTGCTAATACCATCTCCCTATACCTCTGCTCTACCTGTTCTCCTTTTGAGAAACCGTATGCATTAATAAAAATGTAAGCTATTTTCCTTGGGAGAGGGGTAAGGGGAGTCCAACACAACCCAAGTGGAAACAAACACTGGGGCGACACATCCCTTTGTATTGCTCCTCACTACTACGGAAAACAGAGGGTACTTTCTTGTGTGTTTTTTCACTACAGATAATAAAGTGTAAGATTTATGCACTCAGAAATATAAACATTCGAGTTGTCATTCTACCTGCAGACTGTACTTATTTGGCTTTTGGTTTTCAGACAACCCACCCATTCCTATGTAATGTGACTTTCCTAAAGTGCTTCTGGATGTTAAATTTGGACTCTTCTACAACATGTGAATTATTCAATAGCAGCAGTCTCCACCAGTCAATTCAACCTGATTTCTACTTGATTTGAGGAACATGGCCTGTTCAGAAGTAGGAGCTACTTACAGTTATATTTCTATGACATTCTTTGTAAAAAGTGTTTTTAAATCTATACAACAAACTTCATGAGACATATGGGTGTGGGATTATATCTTTTTCTGTATCTATGAGTTAACAGAGATTCAGTTAAAAATGTGCCAAAGGTACTTCATAGTATTACCTAGTCTGACCAACTTCCTGCCCTTTATCCCCTGTTCTGTTTATCCCTTACTTAAATGAATAATATCTAAAAGTAACCATAATGCTAATTGACTAGAAAGGTAGGATCATAAAACCTTACAATGTATGCTTTATCTACACAACTATGCTAATATTTATGTATTATTTTTAATTAAATGAACACAGGCGTAACACCACTGTAACATCACAGATTTCTGTCAGTTCTGTATTTTCTAAGGAATGACCTTAAATTGTAATAGTTACGCACTTATTTTAATGTGTATTTGTGCACCATCAAAAGTCATCTTCTGTAACACAAGGGGCAAGCACACCATACTTTAAGAAATTGCCTGAGAGTTATTTTGCTTTTACTGACCCCAAATTTGTCCCTATATAGCACCTTCCAAAAGGTTCTGGTTTGGCTTTCTGCAATAACATAAAATGAGACTTCTTTGTTCATTATATGTAACATCTTTCAAATAGATGAAAATATCTATTTGTCTTATGTCTTCTGTAATTTTATATTATCTAAAGTAAACAGATCCAACTCCGTCTATGCAGAAGGCATGATTTTTACTTTTTCAGTCATTTTTGTCACTGTTAATGATCACCCACTACCACAGATAAATTTTACTTTCAGGAACTGTTCTAAATACATACTTCACATGAATGAATTCATTCACTTCTCAGAACAATCCCCCTGAGGCAGGCAGCGTGCTGTCTTTTAGATGTAAAGAATCTGAGTCAGAGTGAAGTTAGGTAAGCTGCCCAAGGTCACACAGCTAGAAATAGCAAACCTGAGTTTAAACTTAGATAACCTGACTCCAAAGTCTGTGCTACCAACCACTATGAACTACTGGAAACCACCACAAAAAATACTAATGTATAATTTATTACCAAATATTGATTTTCAAAGTCAATAATATTAGCTATGCTTATTGGTTAAGTAATAGAACTTCTTCAATCAACTGCCTAAAAGTGAGTTAAATCTGTGACATACTAAAAATGTAATGATTTAAAAAGCAGCTCTGTATATGGACATGCTGCAATTATTTTAATCAGTCAAAAATATTTAATAATAATTTAGTATAGGCAGAGGCTTGGTATTAACATCATTTAATTCCCATTTTCTCGGGGAGACTACATGCAAGAATATAGTTGAATTACAAGCAATTAAAAAGTAGCTCAAAAAAATTTTCCCCTTACTTTTTAAGAGACTTCGATGTCTAAAAATATTATTTAAATCTTTAATATTCAATTACTTCTTTATCCTATAAATATACTCAATTTTCTGATTCTTGCGTCCCCTCTTAACGAATGATCTCGAAAAACAAAAGAAATTTTTTTCTCTTTGGATCAAATTGTCTCAATTGACCTAAACGCATTTTAATGTCCTAGTTTCATTATCTTTTATCTTCCCAGTTCCATACGAAAAAAAGTTCAGAATTTCCAGGATGGCTTACTGTACTGAGTAATGTACTACAGCCCTAAAGTGGCAGACTATGAAGAGTGCTCATGTCATAAAAAAGCAGATTTGTCCACAAGATGCAAATCTTCCCTGAAATAAAATATGCTTGTATCCATTACATGATGAAACTTTCTAATATCTAGATTATTTATGAAGGATTTAAGCAACTGATGAAAATATTTATGAAGGATTTAAGCAACTGATGAAATCAATTAGCTTAGTAATGTTTAACGTAATCAAAAGTGTAAATTGTAAAAACTGTGGCTACTAGGCTCTTTCCTCACACATAACTGACGTATTCTATTGTGATTACAATATACTTCTGAATTATCCTACTTTATTACACATTTAGCAATCTAAGAACATCTGTGAATGATTGCAGAGATTATCTCAGAGTACATACATTCCTTCCTTCAGGTGGATTTTAAGAGAATATGTGAAACATTCACAAATTCAAGATTTTCAATTGAATTGCTTTTTTAGAAGTTATAATAGAAATATGAATGATCCTATGTAATACAAAGAATGTTTCAAAAGAAATGTAAGGAAGGATCAATATATAAGTAATGTATTTACTGTTACCTAAACCTATCATTTTAGAATTCAAGCCCCAAGAATAATAAAAATTGTGATCCAATTTTATTTTTGCAAATTCAATTTCAACAATATAATTTTTAATCATAGATTTAGGGGATAGAGACCAGCTACCCAAATGCTTTGTTTTTAACCCATTTCCCATTTAGAAGAAAAAGTGCAGCTTGCTGCGGTGTTAATTAATTTTTTCATAAACACACTCTTTGAGGTTGAAACAAATCTGACTGGTTTTCAATGTGAAAATAAAACAGAATAACTGTCTTGGAGTTATTTCTAAACAGAATGTGTCTCTAATCCTAATGTAACGGAAATATATACATAAATCAGATTCATCAAATGAATCTTTGGCTAACAAGTGTTTGAGAACGATGTTAACATCACACGTAGGAATGCTACGTTTGCTAGGATTTGACATTTTTAGCGATCAAGAATTACATTTTTTAAATGGAAACACTATGACTAAAAACAGAATGCTATAAATAGAATGATGTCATTTGTTTCCAAAGACTATCGCTATACTGGAATGATGTGAAAACAACAAGAAAAGTGAGATAGTTTGTGGCAAACTTTGGGGGCGAGGTTAGGACTGTGATCTGCGAGTTATCTTGGGGTAAACGCTGCAGCCGCAAGCACCACCTGAGCATTCTCAGGACAAACAGGAAATGGGTTAATTTTGTGGTAGGAAAAAAGTTGAAGTCCTGGAATATAACTCCCAGGAATTTTCTGGTTAAAGTCCATGTAAACACAGTGATTCATTGACTTCATCAATATGGCGTACAGGATCACTGTGAGGTCTAGCGCAGACATGGCTTCAGCCTAGAGTGTATGGTTTGGCTCCAGTGTTATTACCTTGCCAATTCCATCTTTAAGCATCCTTAACAATCCTCCCTAATAGATAACCCAGTGCTTAGATCAAGCTGCCATGTGGTGGGCAACTCAATATGCAATGGGCAAACACGGAATGAACCAATCACCTCACCTAATACTTTGCTTTTTCAATTTTTCTCTCATTCCAAAATCCTATCCACCTTGACAATCTCTCAGGTGGCCTGGACTTTACTCCCACCTTCTGTTACTACTGTCTTTACTCAACATTAGTTCACACAGTCTAGCTCTATAGTGGCCTTTTTTCAGCCTTTGTCCTTCAATTTCACTGCCATCTTTTTTCAATGAAGCTTTAGTTGAAATACAAGAGTCAAGCCATTCTAATAATAAAATTATGTATTTTAAAGTAAATACTATTTCTATTATTACTTCTTCCTACTTTCTGCTCATTACCCACCCTTTGATTTAATAATACCTTTGTGAAGGGTATTTTAATCCTCCATGTTTACTCCCACAGCTATGGATGTATTTAGTGCTGTGACTCTCTGAACACGATGTTTGTTTAACAGAAAGAAAACAAACTTTAATGAAAGTTTGTTTATTTATTTTCTAACTCTGGTGAACTTCATGTTGTAAACTTTCTAGTTACAATAAATTAAGTTAATGTGACTCCCATGTTTATGGAATCTCCAGTTTATTCCTTAGTTGAACATGAGCACAGGTGCTATTCTAAGTAACACATTCTATGTACTTTGCAAACGTCACCTCATTTAATTCTTGAAATAAACCTTGGGAAACTAAAGTTCACAGACATTACTTGGCCAAGGTCATATCGATAAACTGGAAAGTCAATATTCAAACTCAGGACTGTCTCCATAACCTGTGATCACTGAATTATATATAGCATACTATTACAAAAAGACTTCAATGACTGCTTTGCTAGTTAGAATACACTCAAACTCCCAATTCTGCCTTCTTTAGAGGAGAGCTGTAACTTTATTTATATACTTACAAAATGACTACCGTGTCTATAGGGAAGGTTTAGATAAATGAATTCAATTATCTTTATTTACAGAAATCAATTGGAAAAATAAAATGTTTTTATACAACTTACCATTTAACATCAACAGATTGTCAGTTCCTGGATGTGGATAGCTCAATCGACCTTTAAAAAGACAGGAAAGGAAACTTTGAAGATTATTGAGCTATTTGAAAATTGAAAAAGAGAAAGGGGTGAAAGGAGAAAATTATTGAGCACATTTCTTAAGAACTAAAAAGGTAATGTTTAACTCTGTATATTAACTAAAATTATCTTTGAAAACTGAAAACAAAAACAGTTCACCTTAGTTCCTAGATCATAAGAGCACAATGTGATTTGGGAGCAACAACTATAGAATAAAGCCCATTTGTTTTTGAAACTTAAAAACAGTTTAGGTATCTTAGTCTTTCAAACTTAATACAGAATGTGCAAACTTCTTAGTATTTTCAAAGCTGTTGATAATTTTCTCTACGGATCTCTTTTCCTAAAATTAAATTTGAGGGAAAAGAATTTCTATTCCAAAATAAAAATATAACCAAAATATTTTTAAAAAGTAGTAAAAAGTCAACATGACTTGCTATTTTAATTTGGTATCATTTTATGTAGTTGTATTTAAATAAATTTAATAAAAGCACCTTAACTATAACTTGTTCAAAGTTTAAAAATGATAAAAAACTAAAATCAAAAAATAAAAATATTAAAGCTTAGGAGCATAGTAGTATAGTCTTTCCTTTGAGTCATTCTTCATTAAGAGCTTTGCATTTACTAATTGCAGAAAGGACAACAGTATGGTATTCTGCTATGGAAAGAAAAAAAGGTAGGCATGAACATATTGTGGTTTACCTAGCATTTTTACATTGTAACACTTGTTAGACTAGATGCCAACAGCAAGGATGATCGTTTTTAGTCCATCAAAATATAGGATTTTTCTCTAATGCCTTACTCTCTCATAGACTGTTTGAAGGTACATTAAAATCCATTTAGAAATCTGCTAAAAATTAAATGTCTGTGAGATTGCATTTTAGCAACTTTCAGCACAGGCTCTTTAAAAAGACATTAGAAAAGCATGTAATGCATTGCCACCAGAAAGGTGACCAATAAATATCTGAATGAATCTGATATGATTAGTAAGGAGAATAGACTAACTGCATCTACCTTTACCATCCTTGCAAGTACTCTACATTTCTAGGACCCTTTATTATGTCCAAATATCCCATACAAGACAGAGACTGTCTGGTAGCTTTTGATTTTATTATGAAGTTAAAGAATCTGATCATCTAACAATGTAAGAGCAAGTGGCAAAGATAATCCAATTTTGACATTAAAATACATATATATTAGATAAATATACAGATATAAAACTATACCATGTACACATACATGCACATTTCATTGTAGCTAATTTTACTAGAGCATACTTTGTTTTCAGACTCCCCATAGTTAAACAAAATAAATGTTACTGTCCTTCAAAAGATGATTTATCACCTCTTATTTACTCCTGAGTTTCATGCAGTACGACATTATTTAACTAAATCATCTCTTAAAGTTGCCATACTCTAAAAACAGAAATGTATTTATTGCTGTGAAACCTTAGTATGGAGTGAGAAATAGAAGAGCACGTACAGAAGGTACCAGATACAAGGAAAGAGGAAGCAGAGCTTTCCTGAACCGGATTCCAGCAGCGTGGAGCACTACCTTCTCTGAAGTACCATAGCTTATTTTGGAAATATGCCTATTTCTGTGCATCTTGTCTCAGATGACCAAATTTGGAGAACAATTAAAGGCCAATGAAATAATTACTGTTATTTCTGACTTGAGATTGAAAACCAAAACTATGAGAGTGGCAACCTTTGCTGATGTTCAGTGGAACAAGTTCATTAAGCCTTGCAGAGCAACAGGGTTAGGAGGTCGAGATTATGAGTGCGATACAGTCTCTGTTTATGAAGCAGTAGCAAAGACAGATGCACATATACAATGTCAATAAAATCTGTCAAGTGTGAAAAGGGTTATGTATGGAATGCTATATAAAAAAACAAAGGCATATTTAACCAAGTCCAGGGATTCAGGCAAGACTTCCCAGAAAAGTAAACTGAGCAAAGCCTTCAGCCTCGCACTACTTCAGAAGACACTCAACTTCCAATTGACACAGATTCACTGCTCACTTTATTTATCCCAAGACACAGGGAACAAGATATATTCATTGCTGACAGTCTTTTGACATCTTGGCTCTGAAAGGACTTAAAAGGCATATAATAAGTGGAAAGTTCAAAAGACAGATACTTTTTTGCAAATGGACATATATTTGTATATATGTTCTAAAATGTTGATCTCCAAACTGGAAAATTTCTCAGTGTAACTAAAATACTCAAAAATGAAATAAGCAAATTTAGACTATTTAAAAATTATCCAGTTACTTCTCCTCTACGACAGTGAAACTAATAACACAGCTTTACAAGTTAACTTTCACAGTTATATTTTACTTAGGATAATATTAAAACTACTTTCATTAAGAACCTGCCAATTGACAATAATGACTAACATCTGAGGGCTTACTATGTGCCGGGAGCTTTCCTAAGTTCTTTACAATCAATTATTTAACCCTCACAACAGTCCCATGAGTTAGGTACTGTTATCTTCCCATACGAACATGAAGACATTGTGCTATGACAAGTGAAATAACTTGCCCAAGGTTACACCACTGACAGCTCTGACAGAACTTGAACCTAGGCAGTTTGGCTCCATATTCTTAATCACTATCTTATTAAAAAAATCACAGAATTATTGTATAGCATATTAGATAACTTGTGCTTTAACACAGAAAAAAATAGAAAAAATACATTGTTATAAAACCAATTGTTCCCTATTGTCTAAAAGGCCTGTGGTACAGAGACCGGTAATTGTGTACTAACACCTGTTCCTGTTAATAATGGGACCCCCAAATGTTACACAGGTACAGGGCTGCACAGAGTAAAAATACAAAATTTCTCAGTGTCATTACATGTGCCCATGTGTGTAAGAACTGACCAATGGGATGTAAAGGAAAACTGGGAAGTACAGTTTCTGGGAAGTATCCTTAAAAGGGAAGATCTTCTCTTTACTTTTTTTCTGCTTGCTGAAATGCAGATGACATGGCTAATGTGAAGCAGCCATGTTAGATCACGAGGCAGATGCTGGGTGTTAAGGACAGCAGTCATGAATATCACCAGAACACTTCGAGGAGGGCTATGTTGATGTAAGACAAGTAAATGTCTACTTTGCTTATGAATTTTCTGTTGTCTCTATCCATCTTACAAGTAATAAATTTGGACAAATTGCTTATGTAGTATTGTAAAAGTATCATAAAGTATAATAATTTTATGATGATTTTAATATATCTATGAATAATGGGTATATATAACCTCTTGGCAGATCTTTTACATTACAATATGAAATTTAAAATAAATAATTTTGAAAAAATACATATTTATTCTTAGGAGTCAGTGAATAATTAGAGAACCTATGGTAGCTTAAAATTATCTTATTAGTCTGTATGATTTTAATAGTAATTTGTACAATACATATATCAGAGACAATTCATTTTAGCCTTTTTAGATGTATATTTGAGCAACAGAAAGCACTGAGAAATATAACAACTGCATATAACTTATCACTTATACAAATTACCAGTTACTAAAATTTTAACAAAGCAGTATTTAAAGGCATGCAATAAATTAAGCCAACATTAAAGACTATTCATATAAACATAAATAAATATATACATGAGTTCTTTCTCCAAATTAATTTCTTACTACCAATAAAAATAACTTATTAAATGGTGATGATAAAATAATAACATTTCTTATGTCACATGTACTTGGACTTGACTTTTTTCTCCACGGCCTCCCTAAGTGATATTATCTACCACCAAAATTCATACATCGTCTCTAAGCAGATGACTCCCACATTTATATCTCTAACTGCAACCTCTCTTCCTCAACCCCATACTTCCCCAGAGAAGTATACAGCAATATCTCCCATCTGGATGCTCATCCTAAAACCTTTGGTTAACTCTACTTCTCACTTTGTGTACAAATCTGTTGTCAAATCTGCTGCCTGCTCTATTATCAACACAGACCCAAATTTGCTTGCTCTTCACCAGCTCCTTCACTGTTTCCATAAACTTAGCCATCCCCATGTCTTCACAGTCTACTAGAATAACCTAACAGTCTAGTGTCTATTCAGCATCCTATGTGATCCTTTTAAAACCTAAGTCAGCTCATGTTGCTCTACTGCTCAAAACCCTCCTACACTTAAATATCTGGCCCTTCGTCCTCTCCCATTCAACCATGCTGGCCTCTTTGCTCTTCTGTAAACATGCCAGCTATAGTCTCATTTCAGGATCTGTGTATTTCTTCTTGCTGCATAAAATGCATTTGCCCAGATAATGACCAAAACTTGCACCTCTCACTTCATTCAGGTCATGAAGAGATGCCAGCAGACCATAAAACAGCAGCTTCTTTCTCTCTCGCCTTGACACTGTTTTTTCTTCACAGCCCTGATTCTCTTTCTGTCTATCCTTCATTAAGACAGAAGATCCATAAGGACAGGTCTTCATCTTTTTATTCTCTACTGTATCTCTAGCAGCTAAAGCAGAGCCTAGTGTCTAACAGGCTCTCAAATATTTGTTAATGGATGAATGAAATATCTCATTCCATTAGGTGAACCGTGAACTCAATCGAAAGCACAGGACCTAAATATGTGTTTTATGTGGGGCATAGGAAGGACATTCTCTAAGTAAGTGGAAAATTACAGAACAAGTTTTTGTCAGTTCATTCTAAATCCTTTATGCATGGGGAAAGGAGGAAGACAAGTCCTCCTATTTTGTTCTTTGCCAAGATAAATTTTCCCCTTTTCCATAACCATTTTCTTTTCTCTCATGAATACATCCAAAAAATGATCTCAAAAGCCCCAATATTCACAGTTAATGATACCAACCCATTCCTCATTAGTGATGAGAAAATGCTAGAGAACAATGCCACATGTACTGCCAACTCTTTTTAATAGGGGGGAAAAAGCGCCATTTAAATTACTTATTAGAATCATAAAAGATGTTGGGTTAGAATTAACACTAGACAAATTAATAATAC